CTTGCTTTTGGTTTTGCTGCCTGCCCGTGGAGGTATTAAGCTGCCCTTGCTGGAGAATCTGTAAATCAAACCAAATGCTCGTATGTTCAGGCAAATGGGACTGAGATACCTGAAACGCTTCAGAGTTTGTTCCATTTTCAGGCCGAAGTATGGAAGTGTAAACGTTTTTCAGTATCGTGACACTACTGGCTGAGAGGACACACCTCACTCGCAGTGTTCTTATGTCCGTAAGACCTTTAGGTCTTCTCTCTACAAGAGAAAAACTGAGGCATGCCTACAAATGTGTCCCGGTTGGAAAGACTGATGGTAGGATTGCTGGAAACTCATCGCTCTACCAAACGCTTGGCGAGAATCAGATCCTGACTTTATTTTTTTTGACTTGGTGATTGTATTAGTAACTTTCTTGACTCAATGGGATTTTTTCCACCATGACAAAGCAACCAAGTTCCTGTTCCTGGAGGGCAGTTTAGGTTCCAGCATTCTCAGGAGAGGCAGTTCAAAACCGGGATGTTGGGGGTTTATGCAACTTCACTGGTGACATGCAACAGGCCCCTGGTTTAACTGTGGAGTAAGGTTGCAGACGCACACTTTCAGATTACTACAGTGAAAAAATCCTTTTTCCTCCCCTGCTCCTGTGAGGGGGTGACAGAAGTGGGTACAGGAGACCCCTAGTAACGATGGGCTGTGTTGGGTTCGGTAAATGTTATGGTGGAAAACGTACATTGATGTCTCTAAGTGATCTTACGGGTTAACGAGCCAGACTGGCATCTTTTTCCATCATTGTTTAACCAATAATGGTTCTAAAAATGCTTTGTGTTACCTGCATGGTCTTAGACCTTCTATTAATGATTGTATCAACTTACAAACTCAGGTAGATAATTTTTTAAGCTCTTTTGGTAGAGCCTTACTGACTGAATGTTAAGTGTCTGTGTAGTGATGTAGTTTAAGTAACTTCCTTTTTGAACTACCAGACTAGTTTAAAAAAAAAAAAGTCCTTTTATAGGTTTGTAGAGTACTTTTCAGACAACGTAGTAGTTTTTCCTTCAGAGGGAGAGATGTCCGTTTCTGGGTTTTGGTTTTAGTTTCTTTCCTAAAATGACTAAAAGGTTTTTTAACTAGTTTGTAAGGTGTGCTTAGTCACCCGAGGTGGTGGTGGGGTTCTTGCTGTGCGTGACTCTTGTTTGTGCTGCGCGTTACCTGTCGTGCGCCGTTCCTTGGAGCAGCCAGGGTGGTGGACACAAGCCTGCAGGTTCTGCCCAGTGGAAATCGGAGGCCTTGAAGGTGGAGGTCATCCATGTGACACCACCGATGGCACAGGCAGGTTTTTCTCCTCTCATTTAATTGACTGTAGATGTATGGCCCCATCTTACAAAACTTCGTTACTGGTGTGCGAGCGGCTTTGCGTCGGGATCCAGCATGATTTTGTCAGTCCTCAGATGTTGGGCATCTTGAGTCAATTGGTTCTGTAGTTTCCTCTTCTGTTGCAGTTGCTTCTTTTTCTACTTCAGTGATTAATCGTGCTGCTCTCCTTGTAATAATTACAAAAAAGTCTCAGCAGGACAGACAGTGCCCTGCTTTTAATGAGCTGGGCAGAGCTTTTTATATCTAATGGATAATGAAACAGGCTGTGACAAGAACTTCCACGCTCCGAAAAGGGCATCGCGCTTCTGCTTGGATAAAATGAAGCGACGCTTTCCGATGCCCGATGTTGAGTACCGCGGAGGAGAAAGCATGACAGGTTATGTGCAAAGCTTTACGTAGAATAAGCGAGCAAAATGTTAGAACCCTTGTGTTACTGGAGGCTTCTGAATGTATCGTTGTGGTCCATGGGGAAGGCTGAAGGATGTAGCAAGGAGATGATGTATCAGCTACTGGCAGCCTTAAAACAAAGTCAGTGTCTCTCTGGACTTTAAAATGTTCCTATGCAGTTTATTTTATTTTTGTTTAATCAAATAAATGTGAGGTTTTTCATGGCAAACCTGTGTGTGTGTGTTTCTCTATGACCCAGATGAAGCAGCCTCTTCTGGGCACAGAAAAGCTCATTTCCCGGTTTGAACCTGGCTGTCTCCCTGGGATGACTACGGGAAACCTGTAACCAGAGGGAGGAGGAGAAAGGACAGGGTGCCAGGGAGAGGAGCAGGCTCTAAAAAACTTAAACCAACACAAACCCTGTAGCGTGTCACTCAGTTGTCTGATCTACTAAAAACCTGCTGCCCTCCTGCCCGGAGGAGATGGCTTTGTACTGAACTGCTGGGAAGTTCCTGGTTCAACCTTGTTATGGCCATTTCTGGGTTTCCATTTCTTCACCTTGGCACCTGGGAAGGTGATACTTTTTCCCAGTGGGACGGGAAAGCAAAGACACCTTGAAATGTGCCGGTGGATCTGGTGTTTTACTGGCCAACAGGCGGTGGGTTGGCAGAAAAGGGGCTCTTCTTTTTCTCCTTACTACTTTAGGAGAGGTCTAGAAAAGGAGGGGTGAGTATGGGAAGATGCTGTTCAGCAAGTGTAAGGCTAGAGAGCCAAGGCTGCTGTCTGAATTTCCAGCATGGTGGCAGTGAAGGTGGATTCCAGCCTCTGGAAGTGCGGACAGCACTAGCTCTCCAAAGCTGTGATGCTTTCTGGCCCCAGCTGTGTCCCACTGCAGGGCTGCTGGGTACTGACTCTGTTCTGTCCCTCAGAATCCTTGACCAGACCATCGCTATTCCTGGAGGAGCAGCTGGCAGCAGTACAGGGAGATGGCTACAAGCTGAAGGGATGGATGGGGAAATGCAGGAGGAGGGACAACCTGCTCAGGTGTGTTTCAGAGCCACCTTGGGGTGGTACTCAGCCCTGTTCCTTTGGCCCAACCAGAACCTGGCAGCTCACAGAGCACCAGGCGATGGCTCTGGACACAAGCCCTGCACTGTCCTTGCGCTGTGGCTGTCTGCTTTCTCCCCAAAACCCTTGGCTCGACCACGCCAACGTGTGGGTGAGGAGGCTGAGAAGGCAACGGGGGGCACCTCCTCTGCCGCAGGACATCGTGAACCTTGACTCGGCCCTCGCCGCTTTACTGCGGGCTGAGGCAAAAGCGGACCATGGAAACGCCAGAGGGAGTGGGGTCCTGGCTGCTGCCTTGTCACCTCTCTGCGGTAAAACTGTGCAACCCAACAGCTGAAAGGCACCAGCACTCACCCCTCTCCTCAAGGGAAAAGCAAGCTGGTGCTGCCCAAGGGCAGCAGCGCAGCTGTTCTTTGGGGACTGGGCTGAGCACTGCACCTCTGCCCCTGCCTTGGGGAGCGATGGGGTGTGTTGGCTGCACCCCCGGGTGAGCTGCTGTAGCATGTGAGTGCCCCGCACTGCAGCAGAGGGGGGGAGAGCAGAGAAGAATCTCCTCTGTTCAGGGCCCGGGACCACCCAGCCAGCACCTTTAACCTTCGTGTGTTTAATCCATCTACTTTGCGGTGAAGGACATACAGCCCCTTCTCTCCATTCAGAAAGGTGATCACTAGGTGCTTTTTCCTGATTTTTGTTAATTCCCAGTATTTCTGACCTGCTTGTCCCATCCTGAGGCCTGTGGGTACTACCCCCTGCAGCAGCAGGAAGGTTGCTGAGGTGCCCATTGCTCTGAAAGCCTTGACACACAGCGCAGATGTGTCTCTAGAAGGGGTATAGCAGCAGGGCTGGAGGTTTCTGCTCTTCTGTGTCATCGTGGCTGTCCTCCTGCTGAGGGGACACCCTTCCCCTCCTCCCACAGGGGCACGTTGCTTAGAAAGAAGAGAACTTACTCTCCTCCTGGCAGCAGCGGTTTGCTTGTGCATGCGGCTGGGCCAAAGCCCCTCGTGTCTGTACTCCCTCGTGCTCATTTCTGAGCTGCAGAATGGGCAGGCCCTGACCATTTGGAAGCGGGACGTTCCTGGGGAGCGACTGGGTTAAAGTACAATGCCAGCAGCACAGGGAGGTGATAAGGGTTTATCCCGGCACTGCCCTGGAGATTAGCTGGGCGAAGTCTCGGAGCAGCTGGAAGGTCACACAACAGGCAGAGAGGAAGGGAGGAGAGATGCTGTGTTCCAGGCCAGGCTCTGATTGTCTTAGGCCTGGATTAAGGCCCAAGGCAAGATGGCTTATCCCTTCTCTGGTGCTCACACCGAGTCACCAGAGGGTCCTTGCAGACAACTTACTGAAGGAAAGTGATATTCCTCCAACCTGGAAACTGCAGTTAAAAAGATGTACCTGCACCACGCCACCACCTTTAAGAGAGAGGAGAAGGAAAACTAACAACAGAAAAACCCCAACCCCCATCCAGCCAAGCCAAGGGTCACCCAGCGCTGCCCTACAACCCCTCCCTGCTGCGAGCTTTTGCCCTCAGTGCCCCATACGCTCTTCTGCCTTTCAGCCCACTGTCTTGTGTCTCCCAGGCGGCTGGAGCAGCAGGCAGGGCCCCTCCAGTCCGGCAGCACAGCGCTGCAGCACACCGCTTTCCCGTTTCCCCTCCCCGGGCAGCGTAGGAGAAGCGCAGAGGCACCCTGGTCGCAAAGCTCTGTGCCAGGGTGCTGATGCTCACCCTGACACCAAGACTCTGCCACCTTGCCCACACAGGCTCGTCCTCACTCCAAACAACCTAATGACAGGTCACTGCAGCGCTGCAGCTGTTAAGGGCCTTGGTGGCCCTACACCCACCCACCCCGTTCCCATAGGGTCAGGGTCATCATCAGCAAAGAACAGCCCCCCCCACTGCTGCAGGGCAGGGAACTAGCTACAGCAACAGGGTGGAGCTGGGTAAAATCCCCTTCTTGGAGGAACACAAACCCGTAGCTCCTCTGGGTCACAACGCAGCAGCCAACACGACAGCAAGCGCTACGTCAGCGGCACTCGGTGCGGGTAACCTTCTCCTTCCGCTCGTGTCCATCTCTGCCCTTCCAGAAGGGCTGAATTACACACCCGGTTGATGGCAAATCGCTGCTCCTCTTCACACCAGCTGCCAACCTCTCTGCCTCACAAAACGCCTCCAAGCGTGCCTCTTGGTTTATGCATTTTATTAAAAATGTACAGAAGTGGGCACACTCCAGCACTTGGGGAAGGCAGGTGTCCTACGTTAAAAAACATATACAAAAGCCCCGGCCCCCCCCAGGCAGGGCAGCAGCAGGCGGAGGCACCACCTCACTTCCTTTGCACAGTGGTGAAGGCTGGCACCTGAATGGGCTGGATGGAGTGGACCGGCTGGAAAACGGGCTTCTTCCGCACGTCCGAGAGGGTTTTCACAGAAGGGAGGAGCTGGTTTCTCTTGATGATCTGCAGCGCCAGTTGCGTGTTACCTGCAAGACAGCTGCTGGTGAAAACCCACGTCCCCGGCTACGGGCTCCCACCGCCCTTCTTGGGACACGGCTGCAAAGCCAGCCCTGCGCCCGGGGCCGCTGACGCCAGCCGCCTCCCTGCTCAGCGACATGGCCACAAAAAGCAGCAGAGAAAAGGGGGTTTGAAACCGATGCTGAAAACACCCAGCCTTTACCTCAGCGCTGCCGGAAGATGCTGGAGCACCTTCTAAATTCCTGAAGGGCACCTCCTCTCTCTCGCCCGTCCGCGTGGCGAGACCCTACAGAGCGCTACAGGCGGCCACGCGAGGGGCAAGGGTGGTTATCGGGCACGTTTATCAGGCACAAACTTCGTCTGTGATGACGATTAAGCCCATAAAACCCCAGGAGAGAAGCCGCCAAGTTCTGGGAAGAACCTTTCTCCTGCTTATCAAATCCTTTCACTGATGTTTCAGTTCCAGGAGAGACGCACCCTTTGCTGCCCTTTCTAGAACAAAGCATCTCCCACTCCTTTTGGCTCTACACTTAGAGGGGGGCGAGAGGTGTTGATCCCAGTTTCTCCCCTCTCTGCTCTGCAGTTTGTTGTGGAAAGAAAGGTTTCCAAAATCCCAACTCCAAAGCATTGTTTTAAAGGAGCAGCATTGGAGAAGCCTCCATTCCCAACACAAACACCCCAGCCCCTCTGCCCGCCTGCAGCTCCGGGACGTTCAGCTCCAAGGGGGAGGGGGTCGCAGCCGCGAGAGCTTCAGGGGTGATGCTCTACCTGCTCACGCTGCTCAATCTTCCCAGTTTCCCATTATACAAATGGGGTTTCCCCTCATAGGAACCTTTGGAAGGAAGGATTGTGGAAGGGAGAGTTACCAGGATGACAAGCTTTGTTACAGTACTTGCTACACAGCCCCTGACACGGCTTCTCTGGGAAACTGGGATGGCAGCTGTCTTGTAATGGAAAGCCTTTCCAACCCTTTTTATAGTATTAACCTCATCAAGGGTTTTAGTGCTAATTTCTGCACAAAGCACGGGAGATTTCAGCTCGGAAGGTGAAAGTGCAGCAAGTCCCGAGTGCAAGAACAGGATGGCAGTCAGCCAGGGAAAGGAAGGTGCAGATAGACGGATCCATAGCAGCGTAAAACAGACCCAGGGCCTAAAGGGTGTCGTGCAAAATATTGGCACAACTGTAAGGACCAGGAATAATGCCCTCCTGCCCTTGTATCCTGAATGGAGGTCAACAGAACATTTCAAAACTTACCGTTCTGTAGTTCAAGATAGACAGCCAGCAGAATGGCCTCCGGAGGGATCTCTTTGGGGTGGATCAGCGAAGCAGCCTTAGGGAAAAAGGTGGGGAGAAAAAGTCCAGCGAAGCAGCCTTAGGGAAAAAGAGGAAGGTGGGGAGAAAAAGTGCTTGAGAGACAACATCCAGCTCCAAGAAAGTGCCCCTTGACAAGACCGTGTTTGCCATGCTGATGGTGACAGCCAAGTAACAATTCATAAACGAAGACTCTGTGTCCAAAGAAAGACCCTCCGTCGGGTTTAGGCATGCTGGGAGAGGCTGCGGGATCATCTGCACTGAGGGATTGTTTCACACCTGGGAGCAGCAGCATCCGCTGTGTGCCCACGTCAGCACGAGGCTGTAATGCCCGGGCCACTCCGCTGAGGTCACCTGTCATCTCGCCAGCAAAAGGCAGCGGCCTCTGCTGCTCCAACGTTCCGAATAGAAAGTTAACGAGGGTCGTTCATGAGCTTTTGGCACCCACATGTTTTTCAGCTATGATGTCAAGGAATTCATTGTAGATACAGAGATCTACTACACGTCACATCCCCTGACGGCCGTACGCTCCTCCGGGCTCTACACGTGCTACGGAGCCCAAGCGCAGACACCTGCCCAATCCTCAGGAGGGGGGAAAAAAAAAAAAAAAAGGCAGACAACGGCCTTAAGGAGTTGAGAACTTCACGGAATTCAAACCTATTCGCCTACACAACTACTAGGAAGCGGCCTGGAAGACCGCTGTTTCCGTGTGCAGCTGAACAAGGCATGTGAGCAGCCGTCCAGACAGATGGAAACGGCACCACTGGAAGATGGACCGAATGACACAGGCTTTGAGCAGCCGTCCAGACAGATGGAAATGGCACCACTGGAAGATGGGGATGGACCGAATGACGCAGGCTCTGTGAAGACACTCGAAAATTCTTGGGACAAGAGGCAGGAAAGAAACATACTTCCAGTAGAACTGCAAGGCAGACAACGAGCCCTAAAGTTGTTTGTTCTCACAGCCCTAAAGTTAACAGCTTCAATGGTGTTAGCAACTGATGAGAGCTAAACCAAGAAAAAAAAATGAAGAGTAGGAAGTGAAAAGGTTTCCTAGTTACACAGCATCGTCTTGACATGATCTAATATACCCCACAGTGGTACTGAAGTGTTTACACAAGTAAGGAATTTGGAATTCCTTTACATTACTAACGAAGACTGGTTATTGATAGAGACAGGAGAGCCTCTCTCAGCAAAGTCAGCAAATAAACCTGAGCTACGAAGTCACCTGAGTTTGCTGTGATCTCGGGGCACTTTGGAAGAAGCACCTCTGTCCCTAAAGCCGTCCTGAGACTTGTTTTCCGTACCTGATGGAGACACTTGCGAGCTTTGTCATATTCACTCCTCAGGCAGTAAGCGCTCCCAAGGTTGAAGAGCATCATCGTTCGCGCAGACGTGACCGAGCTGGGGTAGCACTGTGGGGTCTGCTTGCCAGCTGCAATCAAAAAAAAAAAAATCATTCTTTTTTTGCCTTGTACTTCCCTTTTGGCCTCTGGTCCTGAACTCTGCTGAACACGGTGGCTGGTACTTACAGGATTCCATTGACTCATTCTCTCCTTTGTCAGACCCTGCAAAGAAAAAAGCCCACAAAACCCATCACGTTCTGTAAGCTTTTTTTAAAACACTTATTAGAAAAATAACACAAAGATAGGAATTTGCTTCTTTTTTCACAGTCTGACATTAAAGAGGGCCAATATACCAGCTTGCTCAAGGCTTTGGGCCACGTAAGACTTCCCATCTTTAATTATTTGCTTCTCTAAGAGCCTTTAGATTTGCAGAGGAGTTCAGTGAAGTTTAAACTGCAGACGTGTCACTGAAATCAGAGCTGCTGTAGGCTTAACTACACAGATGGGCTCTGAAGCACCGTTCTGTTGCAGACTACACGCTCCCAGCTAGAAGCACGGCAAGAAGCTTACGATGGAGTCTAACTAAGCTCTCCCTGCCCCTGTCTCTCACTACGTGCAGTCCAGCTCCCTGATACACTCCAAGGCCTCGTTTCCCTGATACACTCCAAGGCCTGGTTTATGAGACTGAAAAGCTGGCATGAAGGTATGAAGCCCAAACTTAACCATAATTGCATATTTAACAAAAGCAGCTCAATATAGAGTCCTGTTTATGTTACAGAATTAACCACTTCCAAGGAATGACAACTACGCAAAGGACAAACCAAACACGAAGTAGGAACTCAAGCCAGGGAAAACAAAAACAACAAAAAAACCCCAAACACCCCACCCCTCAAACAACCTACGGGCTTGAAACAAGATGCCTTACGCATCACTGTATTTGTACATGGAAATTTACAGCAGGAAGGCAGCTGAAAGCATCATCAGTTCTAATGAAGTGTGGATTCATTAACCTTGATCCTGCTCATTTGAAGAGATCCCGAGGGAAACATCAGTGACGTTCTCGGGGTTCAAGTGAGTGATGGCATCAGATATTCTGTCGAGAGAGATGAGAGCTTCTGCCGCATACAAATGCCCAAGAAACCTACAACAGCAAAGGGGGAGGGGCAGACGTCAGCGGAAGATCCCCACGGTTTGTCAGGTCAGACCACAAGCAGTTTTTAAGGGGAGGACGTGAACACTGTTACTGGAAACGCTTGCAGGGAAGTTTGCTTGCTAATACTGTCACAATACCCACTTCTGCCATTCACTGCTTTCTAGGCACGAAGGTAGTGAGAAAATCTGCACCCGAGCGAGGGCAATTCATTCATGCACAGGAACTGCCATTCCAGAAAAACAGTACCTTGGTATGGCTTTATCTCAGGGAACTAAAGGAGGAATCCTCAGGAAAACACACCAGGATACGGATACGTCTATAATGTGAGGTGTGCAGTGACTTTACATTCCATAAAGATCAAAGGAATTCTCTAAGTTAGCTGCATTTCTAAGGACAGCAACTACACAGCCCCGGCCCTGGGGCACAAACCCCCTCCCAGCCGGAGGTTCTGCAAAAGAATGAGGGGTGTTTGCCACTTGTGGTTCAGCTCAGCTACATCAGCAGCTCTCCTTTTCAGCTCTGGGACAGAAGGAACCCCGTCGACGGAGAGCACAGTTAGTCTGCAGCTACTCAATCTGCAGCAGAGGCTGAGCAGAAAAGGCTCCGGCTTGCTCGACGCGGCCGTACACACGCCGCCTCCAACCCACTGGCTGGAGCGAATGACAGAACAGCAGGTCAGGCGTCAGCCACCCAGACCAACTTCTGCCATTGAGAGCCGGCACACCAAACCTGACTTGCCCCATGCAATTGAGGAAACGGGAATGCTTCAACATTCCCGCTCTGCGTGAGCTCCTGCTTCCCTGGGACCAAGGTACGCGGCTCTGTCTTCTCCAAACACTCCAGTCTGGTGTTTCTTGCATTACCCAGCGGTAACGCTGCCTTCACAACTCCTGAAGTCTTCCTTACACAACGGGTGTGCGCAAAGCTTCTGCCGTAGTCTGAAGCACAGGAGCCCTAACAACTCAATTGGCCTGGCCTGTTCTAGGGTACGCTGCCCAAAACAAGTTAGCCTGCTCTCCACAAGCACATTCCCAGGTTGGAAAAAACATGGCTGTGATAAAAACCTCTGCTGAATTTTATCCTGTGCGCGTTCAGTTGTGGATTAAATGCACAAACAAGGTGAGGAGGATGGGGCTAAAGCTGTCTTTTTTGAATTGGCAGAGATGGGTCCAAAGTGGTGGACAGAATCAGAACCAGCTGTGAACATCCTTCCAAAAAAGACCGTGTCAAATGGGAACTGAAAAGCAGAAACTGAAGAAGGGAACCCCCATAAGCCACAGCAGCACAGCCAAGACACGGGACGCTGCTGGCTGAGCAAAACCTTCCCCTCCATAGCTGCGGTCCCGTAAGTGAGCTTTCGGCAGCACATCGGCTCGGGCTGATGTTGTCCACCCCCCCCACCCGGCTGCTCCTTCCTGCCCCTTGTGCTGTGCCCCCCCTGAGCATGTCCAGCCCCACAGTGGATCAGGGCAGAGACACAATGGTCCTGCCACTGTGTGGGCAACATGGCTGGAGAGGAGCAAACAGCAAACATGGGAATTAGGGGGAATTTGCACACAAACAAGGGGACTCACGTTCCTGCGTGTCAATGAACATTTAGTCAGGGCTTCAGCAAGAACAGGAGAGGGCCAAGCTATTCTTTGCATCAGACACAGAACTGGCAAGGAGCTACAGACACTGGAAGCGTCAACTCAGAACTCTCCAGCAAAAAGCAGGGCTGAGAAAGAAGAAACGACCACATCAGACTTACTTAAGAGACCCTGACAGCTTTGGTTGCTGAAGCAGTTTATCTGCGTGATTCAGTGCCATGAGGTTATCGCCCAAAGCCAGAGCCACGTAAGCACTACACGCAAGTATTGAGCACCTGGAGGGGAAAAAGAAAAAAAAAGGGGAGGGGGAGAAAAAAAAAAAAGAAAGGGGAAGGGGGGGAAAGCCCATGTTAAACGGAGAATTCTGTGATTCCAGATACAGCTGCAAGATGTATTTCTTGTTAAACGCGGAAGAAATAAGTCACAAGCTTTCGGTACCATCTCTGCGTCAAACCACGCAGCAAAGGAGCTAGAGTTTGGTCATCTTCGGCCTCAGTCACGCTCCCTAGATGAGGAGGTATGTACATTGTGTTGTGGCAGCATAAACCAAGGCCCACCACTGCCTGCTCAATGAGATTTTGGTATCTTACTCATAAATAACAGATTAAAAAAACCCAGATGGACCTCACCACACCTGGCAGTTTTCTTACGGACAGCCCCCCCTTCCCACCCTCCTTATTCCTTTCGCCCTGCGCCCTCTTCCCTGCCCTCCCCTTCTGCTGCAGCAAAGGGTACCAGATCTGTGGTTTTCTGTAACGTACCCCTACGGACACGCGGCAGGGATCAACTACCTCGTAAGCTGCTTCACTCCTACTGTACAACATTTGCACCCAGGGAGACAGTAAACGCTGGAGAGCTTGGCATTTCCAGTTTTGTGTTCAACCGAGAGCGGCAACCCGCTGCCAAGACGCCGATCGGCGCGTGGCGTTTTGTCGCTGTCACAGACTCTGTCTTTCCAAACCCCACAAAAATCTCTGACAGCTCCTGTAACGAAATCCAAACTACTCGCGTTTTCCATCTTCACACAACGGCCCCACATCAGGACGCCATCGTTAAGCTAAGCTTCACACTTCGTAGTAGCTCCCCCCACCCCAAAACGTGGCACTTGGGGATATTTTAGACTTTGGATGACACCATTCAGCACGGGCTGCTTCATCCTCGGGGCTCCAGCCTCTGGGAGCAGGGGCTTCGTCCCTCTC